AAATGGCGATAGCTTTAAGAAAGGAAAATTGCAACTTGTCAGCTTCTAAGTAGGCATAGCTGCTATTTCATTTTCTTTCAAGTACTTGGTGTAAGGGTATCTGGCATCCGAGAACAACCTCGATTCCAGGCCCTGCTTGGATAAATTCTTGCCTGTGATCAGTCACGTGATAAAGGGTGGATTATAAACGGGATACGTAACATAACATTATATTTGTCTTACCGGATGTTTCAATCTACACGGGAGATCAAAGTCAATGTATTCCTGTAAACAATGAGAATAATGAAACGAAAACACTGTTACGTGTTAGTGAAAAATGTTTGAGAGGCAACTACGTGTATCGAAGAACAATTAGCTTTTTGTATACCTATGCTAGATAAGTCTAATTATGGGTTCGGAATAATTTTCGTTTCTACTGATTTTGGAAAAACAGTTTTTTTCTCACCTTTAGGCTGTGCATGATTTATTTTGGCGCATGGGCAATAGCTTGTGCACATTATTGTTTTCTTTTAACAGGACTTGGATGGTAGAAAACACTTAGCTTGCTCGATTTTTCCCCATGGCTCCCCATGCACGATTTGTTTTCATCAGTTTTTGGTGTGCAAGAATTTGCGGGGGGGATCGCCCAACCTTCTCCACCCCGTACCCTCAAAGAAATAATGGTCAATCCCTTACTGACGGCATAATGTGGATTTCCAGTTTTCTAATAAAATTGTAGAAACTGTATATTAAAATGTACCATTCATTTGCTTGAATTTTGTCAGAAATCCTGATACTGTTATTCCCATATTTACGAAATTACTTAATTTCAATTTTGAACTTCAAATAGTTAGTTTCACTGCCATCATAAGTAGTTTCAAATCGAGGTCCATATGCTAAAAAGTTGACATATTATTAAAAAAAAAACTGTAGAAACGTTAGCAATTGCCATTCGTCAAAATCCAGCTATAAAGGGTATCTCTATTGGCAAGGAAGAGACAAAACTATTACANGGGAAACAATTTGAAAACAACTTGACTAAGAAAGAGAGAAACTTATCACCAAACATTCTATTTTTCTCGTTTAACAACTCTTTTGATTAAGTACAGGCGAGAGAAAAAAATTAAGTTTTCGGTAAATCTTCGTCAGACTTTCCGATTGCTATCGACCAATCGAAGTGTGACACGAGTACTTGGTATTACACCGAACGTTGTCCCATGAGTTTGAGGGTACAAGGGTTCGTGCTGGCACTTAGCAACCTCTTTCACGAAAATTTCGAAAATCTTACTTGAATCTTGGAGGAACGATTAAAAACGAATTAAAACGAGCTAGTTTTGGCAACTGAATGAAGATCACGTTGACTTTACAATATTAACATTTACTATAAATCTACTAGCGTTCTATCGCGAATGCCATTCTCTTATTGGCTACGCTACTCACTATCTGTTCTGTGCTAAAAAATGAGTAGCCTTGAAGTGTGCGGTTGTTAACAAAATGGCGGCTACTGATTTGCGTTTTCGAAGTGTTTGTAAAGAGGATTTGAATAAAGTTTTACACGACTAGTAGATTTATATTAAAACAATTCGATTTTTCGTTCTCAATTTCTTTGCGTGATGGAAATCTCGAGCTTATGATCTAATTGTCACATACTATGCCCCTCTGGCCGCGCGAAAAGTGGGGCGAGAACAAAAACTCGATGAAGAGGGTGGTGGTGAAAAAAAGCTCGCTCGTACGCAAAGGTTTTCTAAGAAGTATATATTAAGGATAAACTAAAATTAAATCGATACTGTCTTTACCATTTTATACTCATAACATTATAGCAAACAGGGTGGCTCAAACAGTTGATACGACGGTGCTTTAACATGGTCTGCGATAAAAAGGAGATAGAACAATTAATGAGAAGGATCAAATCTTGTCCAAAAGTGAAAAAACAACCTAAGTTCGCACGTTCGTACCTTCAGTACTGCCAAAGGATCTTGCCCAGGCTCTGCTCCTTGAATCATCGTGAAATCATATGTTACCTGGTAACACCAACAATTATAATGCAATTACTGAAATGTCTGGGCTGCATGCATACATTCCTTTCGGAAGATAAACTGCTAGGAGAAATCTCTTTACAAAAATATAGATGATAATTCTACTCTTGGGAATCCCGACCAGTGAAAAAATTCATTGATTCAAGCTGGTGTTGGAACCCGCGATCCTCGGTTTACGTTCACGGCTCTACCACATTAAGAGGAACAACCTAGCCATAATGGAAAATCCCACTGTACAGAATATTATTGCAACAAACATGCCTACATGTAACATGACAGTGTTCTGATTCTATACTAGAGCCATCTTCACGCAAATAAAATGACAATTCTGCACTATAAATCATCTTAATGCAAAACATCCAAAAATATAATAAAACTCACTTTGAAATCTTCGCTGTCGGGGTTTCCTTCCTTTGTAATACACTGATCCATAAACCGCTAGAAAGGCGAACAAAAAAGGCATATGTAGTCATAACTTGTTTATACCGAAAATCTGAGAAAAATCCTAATATGTGTTATAAGGTTTCAAACAATCCCCAAGTCACTACTACGCTAGAGTATATTTTGCCTTACTATAGCAATTTCTGGCATTTTTATCACAAGATGTTGCATCGTTGCGATGTGTCCGGGAGCAGATGACGTCAGTACTTCGCGCCATCTATGAAAAGCAAGAAGAGATGCTTAAATATATTTTGATATATCAAGAATTAATATGCCTCCCTGTTATATTCTTTTAACTATACGCAAGAATTTGACATCTAAAATAGAAAATAAGCAGACGGTTGTGCTGTCGAAAATTTCAAAACCTGCCCTGCCCTAAACCGAAATTAATACTTCAATTCTCAATATTTCTTTTAACCCCTATATATATAAAGTTGAGCCGCAAAAAAGATCACACAACGACGTCCGAATGCTTGCCCCTCCATACTACATTCTCAGTTCAAAAGAACAGGATCGTACTAGACGTATGTTGATCATGTGCAACGCACGTGCAAATGGCACGTGCGCAAAGCTGAGCCTAGTCTGCGAGCTTGAACTTTAACGAGGAAATAATTGGACGCATTTGCGTCTGTTTGTTTGTTTGTTTGTTTGTATTTTGTCTTTCTTTGCTGCTAACATTCTTAACTAACCTCTCGTGACTCGCTATAGCAAGTGACACATTTTTCCTGTCAGCATTCAATGCGGCGTCCAGAACATTATGGTTCTTTTTATTCAAAAGGATCTCTTGTTCCGGGTAAGACAGCAAGCACGAGACAACTTCTGGGGAATCATGAATGGCGGCCAAGTGTAAAGCGGTGTTCTGGGCGAGAGGAGAAAGATAATTAATCTCTTAAAACCAAATCAAAAAGCACCTCATCCGTAAGGAGTTCCACGCGTAATTATTCCAAAATAAATTATATTACATTAGCAAAGAGGGAGTTTGGAAGGGGTACCTGGGGTTTGATTCGAGTCTGTTAATGGTCGGTCACCGAAAAATGAGTTCTGGAAAATTTTTCGGACGGGACTTCCTAAATCCTTTCTCGGAAAATTTCATGATTTAATATGACGACTGAGCATTCAAGTATAATATTTTTAGGTTTTCTCACCTGATTTTTATCAAAGAGGTTGATACATTTAGGGTGGCGCTGTAGAATGTACTGTACACATTGCTTGGATCCTCTCATGGCAGCGATATGCAGTGCTGTCCTGTCGTTGTGATCCCTGAGAATATGCCATAAGGAAATACAAAACATTTGACACAAAATATATACTCACCCCATTCGTTCTGGACTGAAAACGTCCCTTCAGCCTTTGTAACTTTAATTAATCAAACATTTTGATATTGCGCATTTATAAATTAAACAAAATTACGAAACTCAGATCTTTATTGGGGGAATTCTTTCCCATTTTGATTTGTGTCCTCTTATTACTGTAACTAAAAGTTATTTTTATCGTTTCAGTCTTGACCTTTCACGAAACCAACAAGCCGATTAGAGCATTACGTTTTTCCTGCTACTGCGGCAAAAATTTAACTAATTTTACTGTACGACGTTTACAAACATAAACAAGGGAGTATTAGAGTTACAAGCCGACGTTTCGACGTCATCCTGGCACCATTCTCAAGGTTTACAGTTAATTTTCCAAATTTCAAAGCACCGAAGTTTACACCACATCGTTCTGTTATGAGGTTTAAATACGAAGACCAACTGATGCACAACTTAGAGCAGTTTTCACTTGAGAGTCGAAAAGTAATTGGTTTTACATCATTGGCTTAAAAAACATTTTGAAGACTCGGGCGGGAAACATTTTGAAAACTCGCGCCACCTTTTCATCCAATTAAAAGTAAAACCAAAACCAATCGTTACTCGTTCGCCCACGTGTTCCCGTGCTTTACGTCACCTACACGTAATTACTTAGAGTTTTGATTGGTTTACTTAATTTTCAGCGTCCTTTATGATTGGCCAGAGTGATAACTTTGGGTTTGGTTTTACGACACTCAATAGGAAACCGCTGTAAAATATGTCTGATAAATTTTTATTCTTAGTATATAATCTCTCAGCCTACTTTTCCACAGTTGCACCAAGATTAAGCAAAAGTTCAACAACTCGGTCATGTCCTTCCACGCATGCGAAGTGTAGAGCTGTCTTTCCTTGACTGTTTTTCAGGNCACATTGCTTGGATCCTCTCATGGCAGCGATATGCAGTGCTGTCCTGTCGTTGTGATCCCTGAGAATATGAGGAGGAAATACAAAACATTTGACACAAAATACATACTCACCCCATTCGTTCTGGACTGAAAACGTCCCTTCAGCCTTTTTAACTTTAATCAAAAATGTTAATATTGCGCATTTATAAATTGAACGAAATTACGAAACTCAGATCTTTATTGGGGGAATTCTTTCCCATTTTGATTTGTGTTCTCTTATTACTGTAACTAAAAGTTATTTTTATCTTTTCAGTCTTGACCTTTCACGAAACCAACAAGCCGATTAGAGCATTACGTTTTTCCTGCTACTGCGGCAAAAATTTAACTAATTTTACTGTACGACGTTTACAAACATAAACAAGGGAGTATTAGAGTTACAAGCCAACGTTTCGACGTCATCCTGGCATCATTCTCAAGGTTTACAGTTAAATTTCCAAATTCCAAAGCACCGAAGTTTACACCACATCGTTCTGTTATGAGGTTTAAATAAGAAGACCAACTGGTGCACAACTTAGAGCAGTTTTCACTTGAGAGTTGAAAAGTAATTGGTTTTGCATCATTGGCTTAAAAAACATTTTGAAGACTCGGGCGGGAAACTCGCGCCACCTTTTCATCCAGTCAAAAGTAAAACCAAAACCAATCGTCACTCGTTCGCCCACGTGTTCCTGCGCTTTGCGTCACCTACACGTAATCACTTAGAGTTTTGATTGGTTTACTTAATTTTCAGCGTCCTTTGTGACTGGCCAGAGTGATAACTTTGGGTTTGGTTTTACGACACTCAATTGGAATCCGCTGTAAAATATCTCTGTCAAATTTTATTCTTAGTATATAATCTCTCAGCCTACTTTTCCACAGTTGCACCAAGATTAAGCAAACGTTCAACAACTCGGTCATGTCCTTCCACGCATGCGAAGTGTAGAGCTGTCTTTCCTTGACTGTTTTTCAGGTTTATTGAACGAATATTCCGACCAGACAGCAACGCTTCAACTATTTCATGCCGGCCATATCTAAAAGGTAAAGCAAATGTATTATTAAAAAACTTGAATTTGTTTCTTTTGATTGTTTGTGAGTTTTAGCGCGCTAAACCTCTTCTCTCTACAACCTTTTACCCTGATTCTCGCCCCATTTCCTTCAAAAACTGAAACGCGATATTGTAAATTTTTCTCCTAGTTCCCGCAATATGTTCCCACGTGGAATGAATTGAGGCAACTAGCATATGTGCAGTCTGACAAGACTTGGATGAATTTACTTCAAGGTTCGCGCATCTTGAAAAGTTTAACCTAAAATTTTCAAGTTGGTGGTTTGTAATCTGGGTTAATCTTGTCCATCTTTAACCATTCTTCTTCCTTTATATTATCTTAGTAAACTACTATTTTCCGTTTTTCTTCAATTTAAAAGTAAGTTTTGTACGCGGCCAGAGTAACTCAAAATACCGTGACTGAGCTTCTTTAATATATTTTTGGTACCTGGCAGCGCCGTGAAGCGCAGTATCCAGACCATATGACATCACTGTTGTGGCCGCTCTATTTCGCTCCATAAACAATAAGATATTCTGTTGGTGTAACAAATACGCTAAAATGTGTACTGACTTTATGCAAAATGGTTATACTCATAACCTACGAGTATTTTACTGCAGAAATAAAGGGTCTTTTAGGCCATGAAATTGGTGTGAAATAGTATAGGGAATCGAAGAAAGCGTTAACGGAATCCTGACTAGAAAAACAAAACAAACAACAATACAAAACAAAACAAACAACAAACAACAAACAAAACAAACCAAAAAGAGCAGGAATGGTTGAAAGATTGTTACACTTTCTTAAAGTCCTTTGCAGATTGTAGATAGTCTAGGCACAAAGCTGGTGCACAGTCTCCCTTGCACTCTTTTAACTCAAGTTGTAAGTGACATTTTCCTCTTACCTGGAGATGACCATATTTGGCAGCGTAGTGAACTGGGGCAAATCCTGTGATATCCTTTTCAGTTATCAATCGGAAAGCGGCGCGTTTCTAAGTAGAAATAAATGCTTGGTAACTTTACATAATACTTCATCGAATATTTACTTAAAATCGTCCATATAGGAAAATTAGCTTCGAGAGGCTCTTGGGACCAGTATTTGACTGGTTCCTAGTCTTCTCTCACTAGAAAAGAGAGCCATATATTGTGATGGTTGAGGAGGCTCTCTTTTATCATACCCAGGGCTTCGCAAAGTACTCCACGAGGCGACTGGGCACGACTCAGTCGAGTAGAGTGCGGCATTTTCAGATATCCCAGTGGTGTCAAAATATTTTAACAGGGTCTACATTGTCGAAGCCATTGGAACCTCATAAACTGCAGCGGCTAAATAAAATCAGCGATGTATTTCGTACCTGCAGTAATACCTCCATTGTATCTGTATGTTCCACGGCCACTCTTACACAAGATTGCATGTCCACGTCTTTGATCGTGACGTCAGCACCACCGTCAATTAATGCTTTAACAGACTCTGTTGCGCCCTCGGCGGCTGCTAAGAAGAGAGGGGTGCGGCGGAGTTTGTCACGAGGGTCTACTGAAGCACCCTGAACAGAAAAACAGTTAAATCAAGGTCGTTGCCTCCTTTAATTTGTGGACACTCGTTCTGCGCAACGCAGAATGGGGAACATAGATTTTAAGCTTTCTTGATGGAGCTTGTTCAGTTTAAACCGTAAGATGTACACCGTACGAGAAAGGCGTATTGATACATTAAAGATCACGTAAAATCTAGTGTGAATGCGCAGAACGTATACAAAAGAGAAACCGCTGTAGAGTTGACGTAGTTTTAGAAAGTCGACAAATGCCAACTTTTAACACACCTAATAATATACGTGAAAAAAATTACTCGATTCTGATTGGCTGAGAGCAGTTAAGTTCAAGTGTAACACAAGTGCAAAAAGTGTAACATCAGTGTAAATTACACATCGTAATTCTGGATTATGATTGGCTGAAAGACTATAGGGAATTTTCTAAGCCAATGATATCACGTAAAATGATGACGAAAATTTTGTGCGGGAACTTTGAAAAAAGTTTTCACGAATGAGAAAGAAAGAAAATGAGAAAGAGAGATCTTCCAGCATTTCTTCCACGCGAATTTTTTCATGTTTATGTTATTGATAAGCGGCTCGTGCAATTTCAGCTTTTTGAAAAACTCACTCGTGCAAATGAATTCCAAATAGCCCTTTTCACGGTTACCTTTGCTTATTTGCATTACAATAAAATCTAGCATGGATGAGAGGCAATTTCGGGCTATTTTGTAGTTTTATCCCGAAATTGCCTCGCATCCACGTTGGATTACATTGTAATGCAAATGAGAAAAATTAACCGTGAAAAGGGCTATTGAAAGAGAAAAACCGTATGATTACTTATACATATATATATGTATAATAATATATATATATTATTACCTGTTTTAAAAGAAACTGTACAACGACTGAGTGATTGTTGAGCGCAGCCATGTGCAGGGGAGTTAAGCCTTGGCTGTCAATCAATGTTATTTGACAAATGGAGGGATCTTTAGAAACAAAGAGCTGAACAATCTCCAGAGATCCTTGAGCGCACGCCACGTGGAATGCAGTAATTCCTTGACTTCCCTAAATCAATCCAAAGAAATTAAAAATAAGGAAAATACAGAAAAGAATGAATGAATGGAATGAATGGATGGATGGATGAATCAAAGAATGAATGGATGAATC